GTGCCTCTGATCCTTTCTATCTTCACCAACACACCCCGTTACTAAAATGCCGGATGTATTCCTGTGAATATGTTTTTCTTTTTGTTCTGTGTTACATCAGTACGTTTCTTTCAATAGTATAAGACAACACGGCACTGAAACCAAACTCCACATGTCGCCTGTCATAGAGAGGTAATAGGGTATTATTGTTCAGTTTATTTTGCTATGTCTAATCTTATGCGATGATGATTATAATGAGCGTTGAACAAAGACCGGCTGTTCGTGTTAGGTTCGGTTTATTCATCTTCCGATAAATTTGCTAGTTACTATCTACAAGAGAAATATACTGGTATACGGCTTACTAATAGGATCATAGAATGCGCTTTTATCCGTCAGAATGCATTGCCTGACAGTTTATCAGAAGGTGAATAAACCGGTCTTCTGATATCATCAGTTTCCTGAAATGGCGTGCAAATGGAAGTTTTATTGTTTTATTTAATTTTTTTGATTTTTAATATCCAATATAAATACCTTAGTCAAACCACCATTCACTATTAACTGCCCACACCTCGCACATCACTTTGCTTATGAACATGTTGTCAATGCATGGCATGGACGAGTTGCTTCGTCTAACGGTCATTGATCTAAAAATCCATGTTTTACCTACAACCAAAATGGTATCGTATCTACTGCAACTGCACCAATAATACAAAAAAAAATCGTACCCCATGGGAAAGTTGATCTATCAAAAGCAAAAAGAGTCTGGTAAAACCATGAACCGCCTGTAGAGAAAATGTCTGGTTTTTTTTAAGCCTTATAAGAAAGTAGGTGAAATATTGACACTTTGTCAAATGTTATAGTTATGAAATAATTGTTTTATTTTCATGTTATTTGGGTCATAGTGTGGTAAAGGTAAAATAGGTAATTCTCTATTGCTGAACTTAACTAGCTTATGCCGAATAGACTATATGGCCCGTTCTCAACTTTACTTTTGGATTAGAAATTTTTCGGGGATTTTCATCGTATCTAAATAAGAATTCTTGCAGTTGCGTTGACATTTGGATAATTCTCGTAGTTACTTAGCATTAGCATATAATTTCGAAACAGCTCTTATTTACCTATAAGTATGAATATTTACATTATTTACATAGGTAGTTTGGGTTTTTCCATTGACATCACTAAAAATAATAATTAAAAATCTTTATTCATTATATTCTACCGAGTTAGCCGTTACTTGATGAATACCTATTTATTATAATTTATGAAAATGGCTCGGAAAATCGTTTCTTAAATTGTCATGAACTATTCTATTATCGTAACATTATATGTTCCAGTATTTACCTGAAGAAGACCTGTTTGTCAAAAAATATGTTGTGATAATAAAATAGTTTGTCAATCTCCAATTAATTTGCTTCAGGTCAAACCCGATTCCATTATCTGTAGACCAGTGCAGTTACCTCCAAAAAAGGCAAAAATCGTGAAAAATTAATAACAGCATGAAAACTATTAAAAAGGGTAGAAAACATAGCGGAAACAACGGGAAAAATAAATTAAACCGAATCCGAGTTACGAGGGTGACATGGGGTGAACTTTTAGGGGTGGAAAATGGTTTTTCAAGATTTCCAGCGAAGCTACATCTCCTATCCGAAAAAGTTAAATATAGAAGTTGTAGGTAATAAAAAGGTCTACAACTTTTATTTACACCATTTTTTCACATAATCTAAAACTTCCAGAGAAAAACCGACCGTTATTGATTTCTATCTCCCACAATTTTTTTTTTTTTTAGTTCACGAAATTTGGTAAAAACTTACCTTTTTATACCCCAAACACGCTGTAATTTTTAAGGTTCAAAATATTTATTTCTACATTTTATTTTGATTTTGAACCCAAAAAGAGGCCTCACTTACACCCGAAAATGCCCAAGTCCTGGAAAAAGTTTGTAGAAAAAACACAGTGGTCTTTTTTCTCGTTGAAACGTCTACTTTAAGATAGTGTAGAAAAACATAAACATTACTATGGAAAAATTTGGCAGAAAATACGAAAAACTGAAAAAACTTGATTTTTTTTAGTATCTGCGTTTATGACATACAATCAATTGTTCATAAGTCTTTGCTTTTTTGATGGAAGTTCTTCATTATCAAACTCCATCAAATTTTCAGATTCTGATAGATCTTCGACTTCGAAATCTTCAATACCGCCATCGTCTCCGAATCCAATATTTTGCCTAATATACCAACTTAGTATCATTTAAATTGGGAAAACTTCCACCAACTGAAGATACATTGTTTTAAGGGCATATTAGCAGCTTGCAGCTTCAAACTTGGGTCGGTAGCAAACTAACAGCAACCGATTGGGGCTGGAAGTAACACCAATATAGAATTATGCCTAATTTGACAGACAAAGATTTACTGATTCCTGAAATATTGCTTAAAACTATTTGCTGCAGCTATAAGAGTGGGTGTTACATTCAAAAATGCGGCTGCCAAAAACACATGTCATATTTCTGAAAGATGCTTCAATATTGAAAAAGAAATCTACGAGAACTTAGTCATTCCGAAGAAATTATGGAGGATGAACCGATGAATATAAGGCAAAATATTCGATGTGAAGACGATGGCGGTTTTGAAAATTTCGAAGGTCCACCAGAATCGGAAAATTTGATCGAGTCTGACAATGAAGAACTGTCATCAAAAAAACAAAGACTTATGGACAATTGATTGCATGTCGTACCTATGTTATAAACGTAAGTTTTTTGAAAAAATCAAGTTATTTCAGTTTTCGCATTTTCTGCCAAATTTTTTTCGGGTGAAAGTGAGGCCACTTTTTAGATTTAAAATCAAAATAATATGTAGAAATAAATATTTTGAATTGAAAAGATTACAGCGTGTTTCGGGTACAGAAATTAGAAAGCTAAGTTTTCACCAAATTTCGTGAACAAAAAAAAAAAAAATTGTGGGAAATAGAAATCAAAAACGAAAAAACCGGTTTAAAATTTGTGGGAGATAGAAATCAAAAACTGAAAATTTTAGGTTATGTGAAAAAATGGTATTCACAAAAGTTGTGGACCTTTTTATTACCTACAACTTTCACCTTTAACTTTTTCCGATAGAAGATGTAGTTCCGCTGGAAATCTTGAAAAATCATTTTCCACCCCTAAAAGTTCACCCCATGTCACCCTCGTAACTCGGATTCAGTTTAATTTATTTTCCCCGTTGTTTCCGCTATGTTTTCTTCCCTTCTCAACAGTTTTCATGCTGTTATTAATTTTTTTTCCAAAAAAATCATTTGCACTGGTCTACTGAGCAAATGTCTCTATTATTGTCATAATATAACTCTAGCAACTCCTTTTATAGTTTCTTTCCTCAGGTGTAAAAATCCATAAAAATATATTTTTTTTTGTAGAATACGTGGAAATTAGCAACACAATAATTGAGTTGATATAGTTCTTTTCATTAAGCTTGTGCAAGTGATGTTCGATTGATTTATTAAAGCGAAATTTTTTCGCTGCTATACTATACCTTTGCCGATTCTTTCAACAAAAGTTGTAAAAATTAATGTGATATAGGGAGATAGAATATTATGCACTCGTATTATTATTATGTAAACAGAAGCACACATCATAGAACATTCACGTAAAAACCAATGATGAAATATGTAAATGATAATGTCGCCGGCTTCTATGCACCAATGTAATTTCGTTACACTACGTCCCACTCAAATAAGATCATCCCGTATTGTTTCAAATAATAGTCAGGACCTTACTATAGAGTTGTTTCGTTTACTTTATTTCCACGTTAACCGACATTATTATTAATATTAACACTATGGTTTTTCTTTGTTTTGTTACTTGTTGTTTGCGCCTAGAGGGTCAAAAAGAATCGATAAAAACAATAAATAGGTACCTGTCGATACAATTGAAATATAGAATTGAATTTGCCTACCATCCATAACTAAGTAACTCTCTTGATATTTCTGAAGGAATCGCTACCTATACGAAAATGGCTTGATTATTCATCCTAATTAATCACAAATCACAATGGTTAGTAGTTGACAGAAAAGACAAATATGTAATTATGAATTATTGGTGTATTTTTATAATCTATTCGCTAATTAATTTATCGCACTTCATCTTACTTTCATCATTTCCATGAGCTTTGATAAGTCATTGTTTGTAGACCAGTAGAAATAGGCGTCAGAATTAGGAAAAATAATTCGTTACAGCAATCTGATAGCCGAATATTGTTAAACAAGCTATTGTAAAACAGGGAGAAAAATCGAACCGACAACTGCTATCCGGGGTGGGTTTTTCGGGGTTGAAACTAGTTTTTCGCAATTTATGGCTAAACTGTGCATCCTATCGAAAAGTTTATGGTGATAATAATTGTAGATAATAAAAAGATCTACAACTTTTGTAGTCAGCATTTATCCCTAACCTAAAAAACTTCCGAAAAAAATGCAATTTTTTTTTTTTTTAATTTTTTTCTTCGACACAAAAAATCAAACAAGCTCAAACTTCGGCAAAAGATACCTTCGAGTGAGTATCGCAAAAAGGCAATCATTTTTTCGTCCGGAAATATTTAGAGGTTTTTGTAAAATTTTATTTTTTTGTTACACAACACTCATTCTCCTGGGAATGTTGCTCGCCTGTTTCAAGAATAAGGACCCTGATGAGTCAATTTTTCAAATAAATAAAGATATTTTACAAATATTTGTAGCTTTAGCTTGCTCTACGGCAACACCAGAGAGATCTTTTTCGACTCTAAGACGGCTAGAATCTTATCTAAGGAATTCATTGGTAAACGAACGTTTAAACCCTGCACTGATATTGGCCTAAGGCCGACATATTTTTATGAGACATATTGCGCCCCATAAAAACACTCATAATACCTGTACTTCGCTTTTGTAATTTGTATAGAGGATAGAAGGTTCCCTCTGAACAAAATAAAGCCATAATGATTTTACTTATAAAAATTATCATCAATAAGCAATTAATATCTACTAATAATTATATTTCTTTACAGATCAATGAGGATCATTACACTTTTAAGTCTAGTATCCGTGGTACTAGCTTTACCACCAACCAGACCAACGACATGTATTGAAGGGTGCACATGTAAGGACATCTTATTGAACATACTCAACGTAGTTGGATGTGACGGACCCTTGACGATCAATTCGACATTATTTAGCCATCTAGACAGGAGAATTATAACTGTTATAAGCTTCTCCAATGTGATCATTAGCGAAATCAAAGAGGATGCCTTCAAGAGATTGCCAAATTTAGAAGATGTTATCATACAGAAAGCTCAAATCGGTTCCATTGATCCAAAAACATTTAATAACGTCAAAAAGGTTAAGTTTGCTGACTGCGGTTTTGAAGATAGTCCCAATCTTTCTTCAGAGAAATTAGAAGAGCTGCATTATGGAAATTGCAAATTAGATACTATTCCTGCCTTAGATACCTTATTTTCTTTAAATTTCCTGAATTTGTCCGGAAATTATATCAAGGAAATTGAGATTACAAGTTTTGCAGAACTTTTTGATTTAGAAACTTTGATTCTATCAAATAATGAGATCAGTAAGATTCCCGCAAATATTTTCGTTAATAATGAAGAACTAAGCAGCCTATATTTGGATAACAATCCGTTGAAAACATTTTACTTCAACACATCCAATAAACTCGAAACTCTTTCAATCAAAAATTGCTTCCTTAGTACTTTTGATGAGAGATCCACAAGGCGATTAACTTCACTAAGTGAACTTAATTTAAATAATAACAGAATCAAAAATTTATCAGTTAAAGATCTAGAATTTTTGAGTCAGCTTACGATTATAGATCTCTCTCAGAACAGCTTGAAGAAGTTGGATAATGATATATTTGCTGGAAATCCGAAGCTTCAAAAAGTTACCCTGGATGATAATAAATTTGAGAGTCTTCCCAACTTTACTTTACTTCACGATGAAAAATTCCAAATCTATTCATTCTCCTGCAAAAATTGTGGCCTTAAAACAATCCATCCGAATACTTTCAAGAACATGCCTACAGTTATTAGCTTAAACTTGGCCAAGAACAATTTCACATCAATTCAGAATATGTTCAGATACATTACGAGTTTAAGAATGTTGGACGTTTCTTATAACAATATTGAAACATTGGCTGAAGCTTTTGACAATAATAAGAATTTAGAATCCTTAAATGTAGCCGGAAATTCTTTAATGACATTAAATCCTCAAAACTTCGCTAATAATAAAGCTATTAAAAAAATTGATGCCAGTAATTGCAGGCTTTACAAATTGTGGAGTAACAATGCAACAATTTTAAGCTCAGTGAGAAAACTTTTTGTTGCTGATAACCATCTTGTTACGTTGAGCATATCTGACTTTAAAGTTGTTCCTGAACTTCACGCAGTTGACTTACATGGAAATCCATTGGTATTTAACGAGGACCTGTGCCACGTTATTAACTATTTGGAAAGTCTTTTTGTATATCCTATTGAATATTCTAAAACTAATGCAGAAGGGCCATTGCATGATGATATTGACAACTTTACTTCCAGTGGATGGTCAGAGTTTCACAATAACAAGTGCCCAGAAATGTCAAATAATATTGACGACCATGAAAGTCTGGAAGTTGGCGATCTAGAAGACGAAAAAGATATTTTAACTTCACTTCAGAAGCTTGACGACTCTAAAGACGATGAAGACGAATACGATGATGATGATTATTATGATTCCTATTCAGATGGTGTGCCTGATTCATATGCTGATGCGAGTAGCAAAGTTACAGAAGATGAAAATGACGATGAGGATGATAAAATTATTGCTGCTGAAGTAATTGACGGAGGAAACCTCAATTTGGCCAGAGTATCATATATTCTTTCTATAACGTCTGTATTTGTTCTTACAGCCCTAGCTGTCCTTATAATGGCTGTAATTATCACTCTATGTATTTTGAGGAGCAACAACAATTTCAACAGAGCTAACTTACCAAGACTAAGGATTCCCGCTGAGTTTAAGATTCCTCTCTGGAATACTCAGCAAAGTGAGAAGAAACACAGTGGATCTGTATATAGACCCCTTTCTGAAGACTTGTCTGGGGCTCAAACTCCGAAAATGAGTCGCTATGAGTTTGCTGTTACTCCAACTGTACATGGAAGCAATCCTTAATTCCTTTCATTAATTGAGATAAAAAAATATCTAGTAATGGAGTCCACCCCAACATCGTTGTATAAGTCTGTTTTAACTGTGGTGTATTAATTTTTAGGCAACTTAAAAAAGTGCATGAAAAGTTTTGTCATTAAATTCAAATAAATATTTACATGATTCAAAAAACTGGAGTTTGTAAATGTAAATGTCTATTTATTATATTGACAAAACTAAAACTAAGTATTCAAGTAGTTGTTATTATATTTCTTTCATAAATCATTCATTATTTTATTGTTAATATTTTGAAGTTATGTGCTTGTAGGGTAGTTGTTAGATTTTAAACTATAACTATTCAAAAAATATCGTTTTTAATTTTTAGATCTTTATATACCTACTGACGTGGATAATGCTTAAAGCCAATCCTCTATTTCTGTGTTGTATTGAAACTATCACATTCGGATTTTTTGGCAATATTAAAACTACCTAATTAAAGTTATTAGTTATAGGTACTGAAACGCATTTTTTTTGTTTAAATTTTTATTGATTCAATGACGTGTATGGGCAATTTTTGCCGCTAAACGAAAACGTCTAATCGGCCAATAACGAATGCAATAGAGAAATTGGTTATCTTGGTTCAAAGTAGGAGAAGTATGTGAATCAATGATAGTTCCAAAACTTCTTAGGTATAAATTTCTACTTTGGTATATGTACATACAAAAATCAAAAAAATGTATACCTATATATCTGGGAATTGTTACTTTCACAGGCATTTCACATAATGGAAATATACATTCGTATATTAAGTAAGTTCTGGTTACTATGGTGCTGTGATATCCATGTCGGTATTTATATGAAAAAAGATCTTCCTTTTCCTAACAGTAGCGTAATCTATACATTCCATGCCATAAATAAAATAATTTAAGTACTTATTAAATGTCATAGCACTCAAACCGCCCTAATCTACTGCAATAAAAATTACATAAGAAGATTCGAGTTTAATTTCTGTTTTCATTGCCACCTAATTTTGGCCACCAACTGAATACCTATTCAAAATAGATGGAATGCTAACATAGTGAGATAAAAGCTTTTTTCTCAACAGATTTTAAAATGGAATATTTTATAGAATAACCCACTGAAAATACTTCAATTTTTTTTAAAGAATTTCTTGGAGAAGTCTATAGTGGAACGTTATGCCAATGTCATCACTTAAGGGAGATAGAACAGAATGTGATAAATGCAAATCAGAGCTGGGCAAGCTACTTGAAAAAAGTAGCTAGCTACAAGTTACAAGCTACTTTATATTGTTAGTAGCTAAGTTACTCAGTAGCTCAACTACCTCTTTAAAAAAAGTAGCTAAGCTATTGGTAACTTAACTACATATTCAATTAGTGAAAGCTACTATTTAAGCTACTTTTTTGAAAGTTAAATTAATAAAAACAAAAAAACGTGCACAATCGCCACCATCAATGTACATAATTTAATTTCATAATATCATCATACGAAAATAACATTTTAACTTTCTTTAGGAAGTAGTATTCATATTTTTGTCAAAAACCACTGGACATTAATTTTTTAGGTTCGCTTTGATCACAGTGATCTGCGAATGCGAGAATAAAACAGGACATATAAAACATAGGTACCTACAGAGATAAGTAGAAACTAGTCTAAGCAAGGCAAGATAAGATTTCTCCGGAAAATGATAATTGTAGCTTGAGCAATTAAAGTACATATAAAGTTACTTCTATCGAGCGGTTAATTCAACTTACCGCCCGCGTTTGCGGGCGATAAGTTGATCTTACCCTCCCTTTTAGAAGATAAATCAGCTACAATTATTTATTATATTCACCCAAGAACTACACCTACACATATTATTACCAAAATCGGTGTGGATAATCATGGAAAATATAAAAGTTGTTGATTTTTGGAAGATTCACAAATACAGAAGTTGCTAATTTTTTAGTGGGAACGTGCCTTTATATAAAGGATAAGACTGTTTATTTTTGAAAACTGTCGAATGGATGCCATTATAATATAGGTATAGTTACTTCATTTTTGAACTAAACTGCTGGACAAATGAAATGGAACAAGCGAATTTTTAGCTGAACCTCAAATTCCAATATTGCGCGAACTAAAAAAGATATCAATGGGAGGTTTGCGAAATTTAACTTCTAAATTACGCAAACCACTCATTGATATCTTCTTGAGTTCGTGTTATAGTGGAATCCAAAGCTAAACTAAAAATTCCCTTGTTCCGCTTCATTTGTCCAGCAGTTTAGAAGAGTCCGCTGTGCATAAAACGTAATGAGTATTTTGGGCGTTAGGTGTCGTTAACCACACTCTCAGGCAGTATACCTAAATAACTATTAACTATCTACCAAAAGTAGCTCAAGTAGCTTGTTTTAGTAGCTAGCTACTTTTCACAGTAGCTTATGAATACATGGAACACATTATCAAAAGCTACAGCTACAAGCTAATTTTCTTTCAAAGTAGCTTGAATAAGCTATTAGCTACCAAAAAAGTAGCTTAACTACTTGGTAGCTAGCTACTGCCCAGCTCTGATGCAAATGTCACAAAAAACTGACAATAATTTATATCTGGACTATGGTCTTGTCAAAATACATCTTCTATTTTCCTGTTGACCAAACAATCAAAAATTCAACAGGGAAATAAGAGGTATGCTCAATTTTGATTCGTTTTTCAAAGTCTATTTTGATTTGCTTAATTATCAGGGAACGCGTTAGGATATACACTACACCAATCGGCTTTGGTTCGAATATAAATTGCTTTATTTTTATGTGATGTTCGATGTTAATGACATTTTTTCTGTCTGGATATCTTGACAATGTGTATGGTAGAGGAAAGTCATCTAAAAGAATAGTTCCTAACATCGGTTAGCATCTTTTTGGCCTATATAGTTTCATAGTCGCCAGCTACATTATTACTGTCGTGATTACTGACTCTATAAATAGGAGTCATCGTCTGATTTCTTCACAAGATAAAATGTAGCTAAGTATTTTAGTCATTAAAACTGTTTCTAGTCAAATGAATTTTGTTCATTCTGTTCTGTTCTGTTCACAAAAGTAGGTATATATTAAGTTTTAATAAGAAATACATCACATTCTGTTGTTAGAGCGTATTCAAAGTGCGGATTTAAGAAAGGCAAATTAGCAAACATTGCGATTGGGGACTTTTTCAAGAAAAAAACAGGCAAGGGAATCTTATTCAGGATCCTGAAAGGCATAACTGTACCGATTTTAATTGTTCTAAAAAATCGGTAACAGATTTTCTTTACACATTTTGTTTTTGAGAACAATGGAAATTCTTATGTAGTCAGTGATTCTAAATAAGAGTTCGTGATCAGTTTTTTTCTAAGAAAGTTCCCATCATACTCATCATAGGTAGGTTCTTCCGTAATAATTAAATATATATATATATATATATATATATATATATATATATATATATATATATATATATATATATATATATATATATATATATATATATATATATATACATCCTCAAACATTATTGCGTCCGTACAAAAACATACATTGTTGCGTCTCCAGGAAAATGAAGAGGTATCTAGTATCTTAAGGCGTATACTGGTTCACCAGTGAATTTGATAGATGGGGCTATATGTAGATTTTCTGTATCTTCAAATTTAAAATATACAGATTTTCATATATTTTTAAACCACTGTTGCGTCCTCATAAAAAGCAACCTTGTCAGCTCCATATATTGGTTGCACCATACAATGTTGCTTCCGTGCGATGTTGTCAAACTGACAGGACGCAATAAAATTACGAAACTATGACAAAGGTAAATTGAATATCGGCTTATCGGCGTTTTCTTGGTAAAAAGTTATGAGCTGATTTGGACAACATCAAACGCAACATAAAATACACAATAATAATTTCTCCCGCAATTCAAATGCGTCTGAGTAAGCCGCAATTTTTGCCGGTATACCATCGCATACATTGCGACTTACTGATACGAATTTGAATTGCACATTTCAAATAAAGCCCCCCTGATACTAATACTTTTTCTTACTCCCCCCCACCTCACGAAAATTGACTTTTCTGTTCTAAATAGGCAAGCGAAAGCGGAAGTGGAACATGCCAGATCATCGGTTGATAGGTACGAAAAACTTTTGCGCCCTGGATCTGGGTGCTGCGTTGAATTAACAAATCATTTTATTGGAGATAAACCAGAAAATTTTTCCGTTGGAAAGACTCTAGTAAGAATAAATGGAGACATTAGGATAAGAATTGCCAATATTTCTTCTTAAACAGTAAAAATAAAAAAGGAGATATTATTGGAACTCTCGAACCAGTTAAGCAAATTTCGAACTGTGACCTACCAGATAAACGACATTTTGTGAAACCGAAATTGGATACAGACAAATTGATGCAAACTTTGAAGATATCATGGAAACACCTCGATCCAGGTGGCCGATCCTCGGGCCAGGGAGTAGAGCTCCCCGATAGAACGAATGTTTTGTCCTTGTCAACGTAATCGAAAAATAAACGAGAATGATAAAGACGAAAATTTTGTTCTCTCGGGGAGTTCCACTCCCTGGCCCGAGGATCGGCCCGCAGATAGACTTAAAGAAGCAGACGTATCTGTGATTGATAATCAAACCAGACGGACCAGTTTAATCCAACAAAAAATTGATACTGGATTGGCATACCCAATTAGACAACCACCTTGACGTATGCCAGTAGCTAAACAACAGGAAGTGGAGAACCAAATTGATAAAATGCTTCAAGAGGGAATTATTGAAGAGTCGAATAGTCCATGGTCTGCGCCAGTAGTATTGGTTACAAAGAAAGATGGAAGTCTTAGATTTCGTGTGGACTACCGTAAGCCTTATGAGGTCACCAAGAAGGAAAGCTTCCCTCTCTCGAGAATAGATGATACATTAACAACTCTATCGGGCTCCAAATGGTTTTCCACCTTGGATCTCAGGAGTGGATACAGGCAAGTGGCAATATACAAAGATGACAAGGAGAAAACTGCCTTCAGTAGCGGAAGCGGGTTATACCAGCGGAAGCGGGTTATACCAGTTAATCGTGATGTCTTTCGGCTTGCGTAATGCTCCAGCTAGGTTTGAGCGACTGATGCATCTTGTTTTGCGAGGCCTCACATGAAGAACTTGGCTGGTATATTTATATAATGTCATGATCATGGGAAATTCCTTCCAAGAATATCTCAATAACCTGAATCAAGTGTTTGATCGCTTCCAGAATGCCAACTTAAAACTCAATCCAAACAAGTGTTTTCTATTTCAAAAGAAAGTGGAACTCTCAGGTAACGTAGTATCTGAAGATGGCATATGAGTTATGAAAGGAAAGATAGATGCTGTCAGGGATGGGCCAAAACCACTCGACAAACATGAACTGACGAGTTTTCTAGGATTGTGTTCCTATTATCGAGGATTTGTAGAAGGATTCGCTAATATAGCTGCTTCGCTTCATTGATTCACGAAAGAAAAATCAACATTCAATTGAACTCAAGAATACGATTCCGCATTTAGAAAATTAAAACGAGCATTATGTACAAGTCCAGTGTTGTCCTATCCCGATCAGGACATGTTGATTTTGCACTCAGATGCAAGCAACAACTATTAGAGCTGTCCTTTCGCAAATCTAAAATTCATAAAAGCATGTCGTAGAGTACTACAGCAGAATTTTATTAAAGCCGGAACGAAATTATTGTGCCACAAGAAGAGAATTGCTTGCCATAGTAAAAGCAGGCGACCATTTCCATGAGTATGTCTACGGAAGACGGAAGTAATTTTGTGATTCGCAGGGATCACGCAGCTCTAAAATGGCTTTTGGGAATGAAATACCATATAATTTGCAAAAATACGTATCAACACACTCGGATATTTATCCTTTTGAATGTGACACTTTTTATGACAACAATTGAATGAAGCCGCGTATAATAGCTGGGTTCGGTAATTGCATCTGCTTGCGAAGTGAGCAAAATTTGACAGATGTCACGTGAAAAGAGATAAGTGATCAGGTGACGTCTGTCAAAAT